ACCAAGAGAAAGCCAAATTTCGAACACACCACACTATCAATTCCAATTAGACACGCCTTCATTCAAAACCACTCTACCATGTCGATGCTCTAATGTAGGACTTCTTTTGTGTAATACTCTCATAGAAACACCTTAGCAAATCTCCTCCCCATTTGTAAGCCTACGGTATCAAGTCTCTCATTTCTTTAATCTAGTTATCTAATGATGAAACACATAGCCCATGAACGCATTGCTACACCATAACCGTTGCCTTCACCCATGGTCATCTTCCGCCGAACCATGACCCAACAATCCTTATAATCTAAGAGAGTCTTCCTTGAAATATCCAATTACAATAGGACCCACCAATCAACCATCAACTCTAATACCAATTGTTGAGAGCGCACAACAGAAACTCGATACATTTTACTTGGGAAGATCACCAAGAATAAACCCAAGTCCAAACTCATCAACATATCTAGTTGGACCCATCTTCACCAAAAAGCTTAAGTCAGTGAGTTATGTGCCAACTAGAATATATTAACTGCTATAAACCACATCAATTATTCGATGTGGGACTTTTTCTAGCATAACCCACACATGCATGTCAACAATCTCTCCCTCACGCATGAGTTCAATGTTAGGTTTACTCCCCATTAATTCAAATATCATTCAGCATCGATTTATCTCAACGTGAATCTCCAACGCCCACTTTAACCCTAGTCTCTTTCTCCGGACCGAACCATGAACGCTGCCATCGAGACCGTATTACTACATTACAACGGCCACCTGCCCGGAAACCGCATTGGTCATTAGATTTATTCCTTGAGATATTCACCAAATACCAATGCATATTGGGAGTGGGCCACCAATCAACCATCAGCTCTAATGTCATTGTTTGGTAGTCTTGGACCTTTCTCACCTTAAAAGCTAGCTAAAAAAGGTGAGGCTTTCCCTTACACTTATAGACCGACCACCAGCCCATTCGATAATCCTAACAATCTCCCCTTCACACATTGGGTTTTTAGGTCAGAACTGTAACAACCCTTTCTGAGTGACTCTTGGATCCGGACTTGATAGTAACCTGGGCTCACACATGATTTGTGCAAAAGGATTCCAGACCCAATCGAGGCGTTTTCTTCATGGAGACGTGAGTGTTTCAAGTTGTGGGTTTTACAACTAATGAGTTGTTTATTTGTAAACACTTTGAACTTTGGTGTAATCTAGGTATGGGAAACGCTCAAGTATACGAGCGAATTATAACTTTGATTCTTCGATTATAGTTAATTATTTGCTACTGGCTTTTCCCATGGTTGTAGGTATTGATACTCGGATCGAACCATGTAAATCTTTTGTATCTTTTATCATTCCTCGTTTATTTCTCTAGTTCTTTCACATTAATTTAATTGCAAAATCCTGATTAGCTTCCATGTTAATATTTTAACACCCAATTGTTGGAATGAACACCGCCAAAAGTCCAATCATCATTCAAAAGAAATTATCAGGAGGAAGTCCAAGTTCGAAACATATCCGTTCGGACGTACTTTCCCCCGCATGCTCTGACCCGCGAGTTAAATGCGAAATTACTTATTTTAACTACTCGATACCATTACCTATACGCTTTCGCCCTATACCTCGACGCGTGTGCCTCAACAAGCTGTTTTCTCCTTAGAGGGAGAAGGGCAGCAAGGACCCGACACTGAAGAATGTTGTGTCAAACTAGTATAAGAAGAAGACCGCTACCTAATAATTGTTCCCGTAAGGCGTGTTCCAGGCAACACCGACTAGCGCGCAAGAGAAGTCTTGCCCTTCTCACTGTACTAGTCTTGAATGAGTCAAACATCGAAACCCCTCTCTCTCTCTCTCTCTCTCTCTCTCTCTCTCTCTCTCTCTCTCTCTCTCATTTTTCCTCTTGAAGGAAGACTTTCTTGTGGCGCAAGATGGGTTTTGTGGGGGCTCCACGACCCTTCTTTGGGCAAATACTGCTGAAAAAGTGGCGTCACCGGCTCCTTTCTTTGACTGAATTCAGAAAACCCTTCATTGACCTGCATTAGAAGGAGATAGAGGGAATTTCGGAAAGATCAGCATCCGCTCACATTGGTTTCTTCGATTCGTTAGTTCTAGTCTATTGCTGAGAAATGGACAGCACATGTCCTAGCTCCTCCATTGTCAACAAATGAATGCCACGAAGATGGTGATTACTTCTCTCGATTTTCTCTTTTGGTCCCTCTTGAACTTTCTCATATCGATTCGATGGTTGGAAAAAGTTGGGCAACGACATGCGAGGAAGAGATGGAGGGCTAAATATAAATTTATTGGCTTTCTAGAGGATAGGTTATTAAATTGTAATAGACATAAGCCTTGGCCCCCTCTATGGAACATGATGTTATTAGGATTAAATACTAAACAATATGACAATCTCTACAACGTGGGGTACTCGTTGACGTGTGATAATTGCGTGAACAGTCATTATATGCTTAAATTAGTTTCCATAGACACTTACTCTATCCTTGTAATATTTCTATTGTGGTCACTCACTTTCTGAATATATTATAAAGATGTTATAAAGTTCAATGCGTTTGGTGAATGGAATCAACCCAATTGCAAACTATATCAAATTGCAATGACCGCAAATGGAATTTAGCCTTATGAGATAAAGTGAAGGATGATGCTTCCTTCATCTCTCTATTTGTATCTTTCACCCTCCCTTTATCTTATTATTAAGATTTTCCCCCTAATCAATCTCGGCAATAATTGGAATTCATAACATGCTTAATCGATTGTTTTTATGAAATCATGCAAGATATAATCGAAATTATCATGGGGAAAAGTACCAAAAAAAAAGTCATAAACCTATTGCATTAGTACTAATTCAGTCTTAAACCTTACAATTGAACCAATTTAGTCATAAACATTTTCACATTGGTACCAATTGGATCCACCCGGCCAATTTAGGCTGGAAATTTCTGACGTGAATGTTAGAATTCTTACGTGACACAGCCGATACTGAAATGGACATTTTTAATAATATTTTGAATTTTTTAATAATTTTTTTTATGTTTTTTCTTTTCTTTTTCTTATTATTTTCTTTCTTTCTTTCTTTTTCCTTCATTTTGGCCAGCGAGGGTCGGCTGCGGGCCAAGGTCACAGCCTTGGCCCAGGCCCTCACTAGTTCCGGGTGAGGGTCGCCTCGCCTAGAGCCGGCAGGGCCATGAAGGCCTTAGGCAAGGGCCTTTCTAGCCTCGCTCATAGTCGATGAAGGCTTGTTGGCCCTCGCCAGTCAAAATGAAGAAGGAAAAAAAAGAAAAAAAATAGTAAAAAATAATAAAATTAAAAATTATTAAATTATTACTAAAAATATCCACGTCAGCGCCGGGCATGCCATGTAGAACGACCGACATCCACGTCAGCGACTTCCGGTCTAAATTGGCCGGATGGACTGAATCTATACCATTGTGAAATTGTTTATGACTTAATTGGTCCAATTAAAAAGTTTATGGCTAAATTAATACCAATGCAATAAGTTTAGGACTTTTTTTGTACTTTTCCAAATTATAATGCTAGGACCTGTTTATACATGATTTTGGGCTTAGGACATGATTGGTTTGTCCAGATTTACAACGAGCCTATAAAAGCAAAGTGAACCAACAACTAGTTGAACTAATCATGGCATGAAGTTCTTCTCAAAGGTGAAATATAGGCTTAAAGCATTGCATCTCATTTATTACCACGTAAAACATAATCTCAAGGAAAACAAAGCAATTATGACATGAGTGGTTTGTGATGAAGAAACCGTACGGAGCACTGATGCTGTCTATTTTGTCTAACGGAAAAGCAAGATTCCATGATAATTGCACTAGTGCCACATGGACACCCCGAAATGGAGTCTTGAAATTACTTTTGCTTCACAAAATTAAAAGAAGAAAATAATCACTTAATTCCTCAAAGAAGCCTCTTTCTTGTGGCAGAGATCATGAGGTATCTAATCTTGGGTGATAGTGGAACCTATAAATAATGGTTTTCATCCCTATGTCCAAAGGATATATTACTTGCACGCTAAGCATATAATAAGTTCGATTAGTCCACGACGACAAAGCATTTAGTGCCCTTGGTCTGGACAAAGACTCAAACTTCCACAAATGTGAAGACCCAATGTTGATAGGAGGATGAGGAGGAGTTTTTGCATTTCTCGACGTTCCCAATCATATTCAAGATTACGACGACGACACATACTCCGATCGATCTGTCAAAATGACTTTGAAAGTGATGCAGTGGATTGAAAGCAAGTATTTAAATAAGCGAATCACATTTACCATTCAACGAGAGAATGAAGTGCCGGATAGAATCATAAATGTAATGGCCCCATGTGTCCTCCTTTCGTAGTTAAAACTCTTTTCTAGTGATGCCGATGTGCGGAATTCTATTCTCCTGTGGTGTGGCAGGAAGAGAATGTCCGGTCAACCCCAAGCCCTTCTCTTTTCTTTCTTTGCCCCTTTCGTTTATTTTTATCTCTAATTAGGCTGAAAATCCGGAACCATCAAAATGACGGTCCAATGTGTAAGCATGTTTATCGCTATTCTGAAAATAGAAACGGACTGGCCGGCTCAATCACTTTTGATCGTCTGAATTCTTTCTTCTAGATTAGGACCGATTTAACTCGACTTGATCGCATAACGTTTATGAACGAAGTCGGATTTTCAGTACCGACAATATTCATTGTAGCCTTGTACGGACGGCAGAGAGGAGGCGTGTGACAAGGGTAAAAGACGAGCGAAGCTCCCCCCGCTTTCATCGGTGATATTTTCTGGTATACCTGCGGCAATTCTGTGCGTAAAGACACGAGACTCCGTTCATGTCAGAGACTAAACTCTTTACATCTACATGCGACTCAGAGAGAGAGAGAGACCATTTTGGACTTTGGATTGAGACAATTTGGCCTTAGCTAGCCAGGACTTTGGCAGTTTCTGCATTCGTCCAACGCTCCTTGGAAAATAAAAAGGAGAAACAACAGATCTAGCACGAACCAGAAGCAACAGTGAGAACAACCTTTCTCTTATAAATGCCATGAGAGCACATACAACCCTCACTCAAATTCTCTCTCTCTCTCTCTCTCTCTCTCTCTCTCTCTCTCCCTCCCTAGTACTTAGGAGCACATTGAAAAAGAGACATGGACAATGAGAGGAGCTCTTTAGCCACTTGGGCTAACTACTGCCAAGGAAAGGTATGTTTGATGCTCTTTTTTCCTGTCAATGATGTTATGTTATGAAGGTTGAATGGGATTGTTGGTGCTACAATGTGAGAGTCACATCTCTAGCCCCTCTTGTGTTCCCCTGCCATCGAGGTGCTTATTCCTCTCATTATGATCATGCAGAGCATGGACGAGCTGCGACATTCTCTCGCCTGCATGACGCTGGAGCTAGAGAGCACCAAGTTAGCGGTTCAAGAAGAGCTCAAGAGGCGAGATGACCAATTGAATTGCCTCAAGGGACTGCTCGAGAAGACGATTGCCGAGAGGAACGATGCGGAGATCAAATGCCAGCGTCTCCTGCTAGAGAAGCTGCTGCTCCAACAACAGCAGCAGCAGCTAAGGGTTCCGCTCTCTGGAGTTTCGTCCATGGAAGATGAGCCGTGGAGAGTAATGGACTCCAACAATGCGTTCTCGTCATCCGATTGCGACGAGAGCATCGTCTCGTCCCCAAGCATGGACCTGGTTCATCCACCTCAAATGAAGGCAGCGCCGCCGGACATTGAGTTAGTCCCGGAAAAGCCGCTCCCCGAGAAGGGCAAGCTCTTGCAGGCAGTGATGAAAGCAGGTCCACTGCTTCAGACACTCCTCCTTGCAGGACCACTTCCCGAGTGGAAGCACCCGCCGCCGCCGCTTGCTTCATCGGACATCCCCCCAGTTACAATACCGTCACCGCCAATTCCGCCAACCCCGTCATTCTTCCTCCCAGATTCTGCTATCAACATCGGCAGCGTCATCACCGGCACAAATTGTGGTGGGGACAGTAGGAAAAGGGGACTTTGTGAGGTATCAGCTTCCTCAAGAGAAGCCAAGTACCAAAGAGTTGTCCTCAACTGACTCGCGCCACCAAAACAGTCCCTCCAATTTGACAATTGATATTTTTAATCAGCTGATTAAACTAAGACTGGTCTCGGCACTCGTTTAGAACAGAAAGGATCGGCAAGGGATTTGGGTTGATGACTGGTTTAGCATTTGTACAGATGCCCTCATCTAGAAAGGGAATTACCCAAAACTTGATTTGTTTCGGAGAAGAAAAGTAAGGGGGCTTATCGTCGAAGAATTTCAGCTTTCTTTTCTTGTTTATCCTCAATCTATTTAGCATCAACTGAAAGAAAGCTTGATGTGTCCAAGGTCATTTGCTCTTGGTACTTAAAATGTAACTCCAACACCAGATTTATGCTATACATTCTCATAAGCCAGATACGCATCAAAGAGAGTGGTGCATAGTCCAGAATAGTAGGATAGGGAGATTTATATGGTAAGAACAAGAAAACTCCAGGACCCTTTGATGTCGGGTCTGCATAAACCCATACACTGGAACCTAGTTCTATGTCTTACCTTGGCCAAGCCTGCCTCCTGACATCTGTTCGGAAAGCAATCATCGGCCTACATTTTAGGCTACCAAATATTCAATTCCGTAAGTTGTTTCCTCTATTTCATGTACTGATACTCTGAGCCATTGATCCCGTCTCTTGCCCCCAATTTTTCAGCTAAGCTAGGAGCAAATCTTGAAACCGCAGGGACTTCAGATCAAATCTATACGTAGCGTGACAATCGAAGGACTGAGCCGTAACATAGTGGTCCTATACAAGTTGAAATCGCACTATGATCCACCGGAGACCGTGCAATATAAAAATCACCTCTTACGCAGAAGATTCTTCTGCCACTACTAGTCACGTTCAAAATTGACAAAATGCACCAATAAAATTGCTGTTTCTTGTCCTTTGAACTAGCATATGAGGAGTCCGGCGAAAAATTATCCTAAATACTCCTTCAGATAATGACCAATCACAGTGATCACACATTAGCAATAAGAATTACACGTACCTCCAGTGCCTCGGAGATAAGTGAACCAAGGATCGATTGCTCATGAGACGTACGAAATTACCAAGCTTATTTTGACACCAAACTGGAAATCTACATAACAGAAAATTTTGTAAGTCAGTAGTCCTATGGAGATATCTGCCTCTCTGGGATTTCTCAAGTGTGCAACATGCAACCCAGCGCAAGAAAATATAAGCGATAACATCAAGTATAAGAAAGTGCTCCACCCCCTAGCCCTTTTAGAAGGTTTCGACAAAGGAAGGTCTAGTAAAAAGAAGACCCGCATTTACACACACATGTACTGCTATCTTCTCCAATGGTTTCTGATATAGCATGCAAGTATAAAAGCACCAAGGAGCATGAAGCACGTTTTCACTCTTGCTTGAGTCAATATCTTTCATCGACCTGAAGTGTCAATGGTAAGGGATACATGATGTAGCTCGAGAATACAAACAAAACTACATACAGGTTTACAAATGGATTTGTCAAGGACACCGCCTGCTCTCTTTTAAAGAAAATGGAAATTTGATATGGCAATTGATGTAAGTGATCACCAATTCTGTGTCACAGGAGCCGCATCCACAAGTATGGTGACTTGATGGCAGTATTTATGCTTAAGCTTTGGTCACCGTGACAATGGAACATCTTGTCATCGCCATCTTGTCATCGCAGATAAGTAAGATCACCTCTACTTACAGGGAGAATCACATGGAAAATGTTGCAAACATGAGGATTTTGCTTCTCAGTCATCTTCATCCTCATCTTTATTATTCGGGTGATTGTGCTTCTGAGCAAAATACATCTCCGCAATCTGGATATATTAGAGGAAAAATTACAGAGGAAAGCCAGTGAAAGAATAAATAGTCACTTCATTTACCCTTTCCCACACCACCTCTATATCAATATGGTCTACCAAACAACACAAAAACTTAATAGCACTGTTTCTCACCAGATCCGATGAGCTTGCTTGCTCCGGTGCTTTATCTTCACGGACACGAACTAACCGAGGAAACCGGAGAGAGATTCCCTTCATACAAGAATTCATGACAAGATTTAGTGATGAATAAAGAGTACAAGTTAATTGCTATTGATCGGTAAGGTCTGCTGAATAGAAACCCCCTCCTCATTCCTTTGCAAAGAAGAAAAAGAAGAAGAAGATTAACATAAACCTTATCAGGATCCACTGTTCCAACAGCAGCACGATGAACAGGGCTAATAGTTAAGTCTGCAGCTTTCACCTCCCAAACCTGGAAGAGAGTTGGAGTTCATATAGAAAATTATAAAATTTTTGCAGAGACCAGAAGCTGCACGCAAGAAATATAAATGAAAAAGGAGAATGCAGAAAAAATAAAAACAGTTGATAAACTACCTCAGAGGGTTCAAACCACACATCTGGACTGATTGTATCTGAATAACGATAATACGACTGAAACAAACAAAGAAAAGAAGTTACAAAGTAAAATATTTCTTTCCCTTCTTTTGAGAGAGAGAGAGAGAGAGAGAGAGACCTTTGGCTTCGGAATAACCTTAGACCGAAGACTGGCAGATCGTTCTTCAAGCATGGCTTCAGAAAAACCAGTTCCTAGCCGCATTGCCAGAGAGAATAATCAAGTCATGTATTGATAAACAGAACGTGTGTCATCAAACAACAAAGCAAATTAGTTTCTCTCACCAATTTTACAAATGCTTTGAAACTCTTCATTGGAACTGTCATAACAAGCAAGGAGAAATGCACCATACACACCTATAAAGGAGAAAATCCATAAACTCTGATCAAGCTTAATTTAAAGTTTAATGAGGTAAGAACAGAAGCATACATTGGCCCATGAGTCCAGTAGACAGATCTGAACAGCTGAGGCAAATAAATTGAGCAACGAAAGATATTGTCCATCAAGGCATATTCATCGAAGATAATATCATTATGTTATCTTTGAGGGATATTTGGAGCAGGTTGAGCTCAAAATAACCTCCAGAAAAGGCAAAGTTGACTAATGTCAATGAACAACATAATGACCATATTGTTGATTTTTTAAACAATTATGAAAGGTTCATAAATAAATTGAAGAGTGGATTTTGTAATAGAAAACATAGCCTGCAGCAGTAGCCACAGCCCTGACATTTCTTTTAAATAATAAACCTTATCACTTCAAATGGAAGTCGAGCCTCAAGACATTGTCCATAGTGATTAATCAAAGCCGATTACTTCAGTTAAGTCAGTTTTCTAATGAGCACTTACCTGTACGCTTCCCACGACCATGGAAAGCGGCAATAGGCACCAAATCTACTGAATCGCCAATACTGCATAAGGAAAGTAGCATATATTAGACAGTCACATACCTAGTGCAAGACTATCAGAATGACCATGTTGTTACCTGTCCATATAATCTTTCTTCAATTTCAGCCAGTTATTTGACCTCTTAGAAGGCTCATATGTAGCATCTCGATCCAGTGTTTTGATAATCAAACCTTCACAACTGCACCAAGTATGTCAACAGTATGGGAAAAGGATAAGCAAATCTCAATTACAACACTTCAATAATATTTGATCATTAAGGGAGCATATTTTTACATTACGCACTAAAGCTATGCCTTGTGAGAGACAGTTGTCCAAAGGGTTTGACATGGAGAACTTGCCAATTCATAGGAATATGACAGATAAAAAAGCAAAGAGACCAAATGAGAATCATAACATATACAGCAAGATCTTTTTGAGCTAATGGCATGAGCAATTGAAAAAGAATCTAATCGGGGTTCCTCCGCCACACCCCCCCCAAAAAAAAACACTGAAAAAAAAGAGTAAAGAAAAACACGTGCATGCGCACAGAGAGAGAGAGATCCTGCAAATGCTTTTCAGCTCAATTGTTCACATCCCAAATAATCTGTTACTGCATACAAAAGGTCCACAATTAAGAACTGCTATTTGAGTCGTTCACATGATGCTTTTAGGCAGGTGCTTCGGGAGGCTTAGACACCCAATGTCATAGAAGAAGAAGAACTACCAAGTGTTTAATACGATCAAATAATGACGCATGACCGCTGACAAGCGAACAAGAAATACCATACTGATATAGCATGAACAGAGCATAATACCTTGCATTAACAGCAGCGTCAAGAAATGTTTGTATCTCCTCTATATCATTAGATGTTATTGCGGTGGCAAACTGAAAAAATCCGGGTTCTTCCTTGAACGAATCGTATAGATGCTGCGCAATACCACAGCAACAGGTCCATAAGAATGGACATTACAACCTTTCACAAATTGCATGAATAGCAGGGCAACAAAATTATCGAGAGTCAAGACCTGCTCCTTAACATGCCAATACCTCTAGCTTTATCTAGTCTCTGAAATTTATATTTCCAATGCCTGGACAGAGTTACGGCCATCCTTTTTTAAAGAAAAAACACCTCTCAATTCCTGCCAATCATTTTGTCCCTCTTAAAAGATCAATGGCTTCATCAAGCTCTGCAACTACCCAGTTCTTAATAAAAGACAAAAAACAACTTCCCAGACTAAGACAAGGCATTCTTACAATAAGGTCTAAGCACATAAGAAGGTAAAGATTTTGCAAATAATATCATCTTAAGTTAAGCAGTTCCAAACAACTCATGGCTTAGAGATGAACCTGCACTTTTCACTATATAATTAAAGCAGAAACACCCTTAAACCACACAATCAACAAGTCTCTCTGCTCTAGCAAGAATTTACATTTCCTATAAGGGGAAAAAGGTACTATTAGCCCCTACTTGAAAAAAAAATGGCAATACCTCCCTCCGAAGTTTGAGTTCTTCCTGAATAAGTGGCTTGCCATTCAAATAAAGCATGTCAAAAGCATATATGCAGACATCCACCTTGATCTCACTCAAGACTACATTTTTGCGAGCTCGCGTACTGAGGATCTGCGATAGAAACTTTGATCTTAGGACCTGTTTCAATTAGCTCTTGCAACCATCTCAAAATAAGAAATTCTCGATCAGATCCATTACTCTTTTTTCAGTATAAAGAAACTAATCACAGGCATAGGTAATATCTTGGAGCGTATAGCTATCAAAGTGACTAGTACAGCAAGTCGAGCATTAAGGCTAAAATTCAAGGTTCAACCGCAATCAAACAGGATGTGAATATATCAATGCCGGTAAATATTGTTAGCCCCGCAATTACTAAAAAAAAGTTAGAAAGTTTGTTGGGAGAAAGAGAGAAAGAGAAAGAAAAAGAGAACACAGGGGAGAATAGATTCACGTGAGATCTATTGGTGACTCACATCACACACGTGCATACTAGGTCAAGAGTTACAATTAATGAATAAATAAATAATAAAATCTCAACAGGAAGTAACAAAAACATCACTTTTTTACTTACATCAATATAACTAACAAC